TTTTTTTTTTTTTTTTTTGCTTTTTTAATTCCCTTGGTGGGGAAAAAAATGCCCAAATGTAGCCAAGCATAATGTATGTGCATACACAGAGGTGTTGTCAAGGTTACATGTGTTAAATACAGAAGTTATGTGATGCATTAGTTTATTATGGCCTAAATCTGCTTTTTTACTAATTTTGCTGCTAGCTGTCTGCATTTTTTTTTCACAGATGGATAGTGAAAACTCAGCAGTTGCAGGCTAACTCTTGTATCCAGCCAGTTTCACTTTCTCTGAACTTTTGCAAATGTCCAGCAGCCTTGAAAAATAAGGCTGTCTGCACTCTGACAGTAGACAGTGCATTGAAGTGCCTGATTTCAGACTAAAAAATAGGGGTGCTTAAGCCCCAGCCTGCAGGTTAAATTGGGCCCACAGAGCCCAGAGGCAGATTAAGGTGTACTGGGGCCCTGGGCAAACACAAAATTGGAGGCTCCCTCCCTCCATGGGAGCTGGTTTTGGGGGAGGAGGGAAAGAGGGGCCCCTACCCCTCCTAGTGCTGGCAGGATCAGGCTGGGTGGACCCTGCCAGGTTGGAGGGCACATGCCTGCCTCTTCTCCCTGCTCCCAACCCCCGCTACAGCCAAATACATGGCAGACAAGGTTCTTTGGATAAATCTGAGCTCTTTTATTAGACCAGCTAAATAGTTGGAAAAATTTTTCTTAACAAGCTTTTGCGTAAAAACCCTTTGCTAGGCTGAAGAAGTTTCTGCAGTTGGTGTGTGCTTTTCCTGGACGGAATGAATAGTAAAGAAGCCAGAGGCTGGTCTGCATGCAAAATAGGCAGTCGGTGAAGATGTAAATTGAGGAGTCAATGGGTGAGAGAGTCGGTGGGTTTTGTCAAGTCAATCCTTAAACCAGTTGTCATCCAAAGAGTGATTTTTGTCCAAGACATTACAGACTTTCTATGAAAATTTAAAAACATAGACCATCTTCCCAGCAATACCCTTCTAGCCACCTTGGAAGTTACCAGCATCCCACACCAGGACAGCATCCAAGTCTGCCTTGCATACATGCAAGAGCCAGGTGACAACTCCGAGTACAGACCCAAAGACATTACTGACCTTCATCCTCGCTTCACTTCCACTATCCAACTTCACTTTCTCTGTCCAGCACTTCCTATAGACCATGGGCACAGCTATGGGCACCAAAATGACCCCACAGTATGACAACCTTTTTATGAGCCACCTGGAAGAATTCCTCAAAGACTACACCATCAAACCCTTGCTATACTTTAGATATATCAATGAGATCTTCATCATTTGGACTGATAACCTGCAATCTCTGATTGCTGAATTTCTGATGGAACTCAATCATCAACCTTCCATCTGACTATCTCTTGAGTACTCCAGCACCAACATCTCCTTTTTAGACACAATGATCAGAGGCTATATGTGACAAACTTGTAGAAGGCATGATATTGAATGACAGCCAGCATGGCTTTGTCGCGGGGAGGTCTTGTCTGACCAACCTCATTTCTTTCTATGATCAGGTGACTTGTCACCTGGATGGAAGAAATGCGGTTGACATCATCTACCTCGATTTCCAGAAAGCCTTTGACCTGGTATCCCATGAGGTACTGATCAGAGAACTGGAAGGTATCGGGCTTAACTGTGGGACTGTCAAATGGGTGCGAAACTGGTTGCGGGGTAGGACTCAGAGTCCAAATAAATGGATCGGTGTCATCTTGGTGAGATGTGGGCAGCGGTGTACCCCAGGGGTCGGTACTTGGCCCAATGCTGTTTAACATGTTCCTCAATGACCTGGATGAGGGGATGAAAAGCCTGCTGGTAAAGTTCACAGACGACACCAAGATACGGGGTTGCATGGACCCACCCACAGAGAGGCTGCAGATACAAGGAGATCTAGACAGGCTGGCATGTTGGGCAGAACAGAACCAGATGAGGTTCAGTGTAGAGAAATGCAAAGTGCTGCATCTAGGAAAGAAGAACCCCCAGCACACCCACAGGCTGGGCAACGCTAACCTGACCAGCAGTACAAGTGAAAGGGATCTGCGGGTAACAATAGACCCCAGCATGAATATAAAGTTGCAATGCAACACAGTAACTGCTAGGGCGAAAAAAAACTCTGGCATGCATGAATCGATGCATCTCCAGTAAAACCAGAGAAGTAATTCTCCTGCTTTACTCGGTGTTGGTGCTGTTACAGCTGGAGTATTGTGTCCATTTCTGGGTGTCACACTTCAACAAGGATGTGCTAAAGCTTGAGAGGGTCCAGAGAATAGCCACCTGTATGATCAGAGACTTGCACGGCAAGCCATACGAGAAGAGCCTGAGGGATCTCGGATACTTCAGCCTAGAGAAAAGAAGGCTGACCGGACCTCCCACAGGCAGCTGTGGGGGAGGGAGGGGTGGTGAGTGCCAACCAGCGGTTGGTGACTACCCGCAGATGCTGCCAGCAGCATCGGCAGCAGCTAGTGGCAATTGCAGACCGTTCGCAGACATTGCCAGTGGTGAGAGCGGCGACCACCGGCAGTGTTGATGGCCCTTTTTCACAGGGGATGCACCGCCACGCTCAGGGGGTGCACGTACACCTGCGTGCACCCCCTATGCATTGCCAATGCCACTAGTTACGGCATGTTACCCCTTCCTCAAACCTATACGGAAAATCCTCAAAGAATTGCAATGGACAGCTGGGAGAGAAATACTCCCATATTAGAAAGAGACCCGGTTCTTAAAAAGATCTTCCCAGAACCACCCATCCTAGCCTTCAAACCAAACACCAAACCTTGCTAACCTCATCACCAGAAACAAACTTCCTATGGCCCAGAACACACCAAATGGATCCAGACCATGCCATGACAAGAAATGCAAAACCTGCCAACATATCTCCACCACCCCCAGAATTACTACACCCCACAACAGAGCCATCAGCATTCCTGGATCTTACAGTTGCACCTCCAGTAGGGTCAGAAGGGACCTGAGCAGATCATCTAGTCTGACCTCCTGCCATAGCAGGAAAGAGT